ACTGCGAAACAAACCAACCTTCAATCTCTGCCATTTCATTTCACTTTTGCTCATCCAGTCTTGGAACACTGTGCGGTCTGTCCCACCGGTCAATTGTGCAGTGCAGATAGAGTGCATCCCGGATTGAAGGGTAGGTGCAACCCCAATAAAAATCATCACCTTTCTGTGTTTTGCCAGTCTGGTTGGACGCAATGCGGATTGCACCATCCATGAATCACGAATGGCACCTTCAGTGCATAACGGATTGCACCCGACCTGCAATCCAAAAGTCCTACTGGTCCTACAAGGAACAAAGCACTCTCATTCACACGCCACTGCCACTTCCGCCTTCAGACCTTCTTCAAAAGGTCATGCACTGTGCGAGAAACTGCGCAGTAGCGTCGCTCCTCTGCCCGCGCATCCACATAGATGCAATGAGCTCCTTGTCGCCGCACCGCTGCGGCCATGTGCGCAGGCGTGAAGTGCTGCCTGAACCTCTCAGCATCAACACACTGCTCGAAGGAGCTATGCGCCACGGCCTTGGCCAAGGTGCGTGCCATCCTCACCTTTTCTGGGCCAAAGCCACCTTGGTTGTCAATGCCCAAGAAGTTCTGGACCTGACTTCTTTGCACCGCAAGCCGTTTGGACTTTGCTTCTTCCCATGATGTCTCTTTGGCATTTTGCGCCACGTCCTGTAGGAGATGTGGGCAAGTTTCAAGGTTTCACGGTTCGTTGATGTTTCGGGTTGTTGTCCCATGGTTTCATGACCCTTGTCCTCCATTACACCGATGTTGCCACCTGTGAGTTGAATCATGTCGCTCTTGTGCGTGGAGGCCTCTTCACCGCCATGATGACGTAGGAATTCCTCAACCTGACAAGGAGACGTCCATCTGCAAACATCCCAACCCATGCCAGAAGTAGCACCAACAAAACTGAAGGCGACTGAACAATTACCACATGAACTGAAGCTCTTCATTCTGGCCTCCTTCTGCGAGAGTTCTTCACTCGTCAGTGGTGGAACGAAGAATCGGCGCTCACGACCGTCTGCGTCAAAAGCAATGGCTGACACTGCAGAACTGACCATCACCACCACTTTGGCGACCGTGTCATCAAAGCCCCATGACTTTGCAAAGGCGGAGACGCTGCTCATCACATCTGGATTAAAGACACCACGAGGAACTTCAAGGATGATGATGGGTTGCCGTCCCATTTCTTGTTTGGCATCTCTCAAGCCACGCATCATCTCCTCTTCATGGAGCACTGCCAACCTGCTCCTCAATGCGTCCTTGGCCAAGTCGTTGTTCTGCATGAGCTTGATGTGGAGCACTCCATTGTTCCACTGCTTCTCCTGCAAGACTTTCCAAAGGATGGTGCTCTTGCCCACTTCATGATTCCCCCAGATGAGGATTGGGCGGGGGTCGTCCAAGTCCAACAACTGGTGCAGTTCGTCCTGCTACAGTGCATAGTGAGCATAGTGCATCAAATTCAAAATGCCAATATGACATGGAATAACACCATCTCAATAACAAATCCCTTCTGTCAAGAAACACACAGGCAAACACAACAAAAAAAAAGGTGGTGCTTGGACGCCTTGATTATCTTCCGTTCAATCTTGACACGTGGCTCGCGTGCTTTGAAAGAGGCATTCACAATGATATTCTTCTCTTGTTCTCGCTCTTGTTCTTGACGATGCCGTTCTTGTTCTTGACGATGCCGTTCTTGTTCTTGACGATGCCGCCACATATCCCATCCAAAGGTCACGATGGCCAACGAGCCACAAAGACCAACCAACCACTTTCCAATCTGCTGTTTCGTGGTCGGCTCCTTCTCTGGAGCGTTGTTTGAGAAGCAACGGTGGTTTCGTCGGCCTGACATGAGAAGCCGAAAACCACAACATCGGGCAATGAGGCAACGCGACATACCCATGGCGGAAATCTCCAGAACTGGGACTGTGCTGGAGCTCAAGCACTTTACGATTTCTTGATGCGTTGACTTGTTCATAGTGCAACACATGCCGCAAGTAGAACTCATCTTATCTTGTGAGCATTTGTGAGCCTGTCTGCTGCGGGAGAAAGCAATCAACATCTCTGGGTGTAGTGTAATGCCACAATGTGTACATAGAGTGTACATGGTGCCTCAAGAAACGCAATATGTCCTCAAAAGTGATGCTTCCATGCAAACGAAACAGCGCGCACATCTCATCTGGGCGCCCCCGACGAAATCCAGAAAGTCCATGAAGAAGTCCGCAAAAAATGAGGCGAAGCGAAAGACGTTCAAATCAAAACACAACCAAGAAAAAACGCCACCAAAAAAGACGAGAATGAGAGAATAAAAAATGAAAGATGTTGAAAGACATGGAACCTTTTGAAAGATATCAAGTTGAATGTTCTGTCTTGAAACTGATGATAAGGAAACACAATAAAATCATACCCAAAAAAAGACAAGACATACCTTGACAATAAAAAACGACAACCACAAGTACACTATCCACAGTATCTCCCTCATCTGAACCAAAACACAAACCCCAACAGCCTAAACAAATCCTACCCTCATCTGAACCAAACATTGACACATCACTTTAGCAACAAAATTACCCCCAAAACCCCACCTGAAAAAACATCAAAGGCGAAGATGAAACATTGAACCCCAACACAAAATCATAACAAGCAACATACAAACATATACGCCCTGAAACCCCCATTTTACCATTTTTTTGTGGGACACCAGTGCATCAAAACCTAAACTTGACCTCCTTGCCGCACGCTTCCCCCTTCTTCAAGACACAACATGCCATGAGACATGATTTCTCTATCTATCTCTATCTACAAAAAGGACTCCCCAAGTCAACTGATCCCTCTCCTTCGGAGAAGAGCTTTTGCCTCTGGAGTTGTCTCGTGGATGTGGCTTTGGAAATCGCCTGAGCTGTGAAAGAGTTGCAAGGCACTGTTCACCGACTAGACCCTGAGTGAAGATAATGTAAATTGAAGGGTCCAGTGGTGCTGTCATGGAAATGAGATGTTTCTTGTATATTCAAAGCACCTGCTTGGCCACATCAGAAGTGTATATGAGTACTGCCTCTGCAGAACACTTCAATTATCCCAAACATTCACAAGCACAGATGTTGACTGAATTCAGCAGGCTCCCTCTGATCATGATGCACTGGCAGGTTCACACCTTCGCTATGCTTTTTAGACCTGTGAAATGTATACCAGGGCATACCAGTCTCCACCGGCACTGAGCCAGTGGCGAGTCCTCAAAGAGCTTCAGCTCCTGGCTGTTCAATTCACAGCCCAGACCGGGTTTGGTGACCAAATGCGTCCGTATAGCTAGGTAATGGATGGTAATGGCAAGGGCTGTTTTTGATTTATTTGTACAGTCGAACAACAAAGAACCACCTGGTCACCTGGCTCTGTATTGGCAGTGCAATCATAAAAGTTTAAAGTACCTCAAATCACTTCAAGGGTCTTCAACTCTCTGTTCCTCCGGTGATTGAGACCCAACATGCTCCATGTGATAGCCAAAGGCAGCACCAGCAGTCCTGCTGGAGCTGTAGACCATTGCCACCACCAATCAGGTTGATATTCGCTGGGCCAATGACATTGGTATCGAAATTCATCTTTGGCTCTTCCTGGCAGAAAGTCTCAGCTGACTGATCTTTGCAGGTTGCAGAGTTCTTGAGTAATTATCTTGAGACAAAGTAAAAAGCTGCGGTTTTTAGGTTTTAGCCCCGTGAACTTTGAGGCTATCTGTGTGATTCTGTGGTCATTCTGGGTAATCTGAGGATTCCTGGTCATGTGATGCAGTAGGATTGCAGAACAGCACAAGCCTTCCGGACCTTTGCATTGGCATAATTAATCGGGGATCAGCCTGTGATTTTGCTGAGATTTGCTGGGCAGCACGACAGTTATGACAGTACGAGGTTCACAAAATAAGTTTGGGGACTTCGGGGACTTCCAGTACAGTGCAGCTGCCATCAGGGCGTATCAGGCCCATCAGCCCAGCACCTCGCCAGGTTTTCCCAGCCTCTTTCCCTGCAAACGGTTCGCCACAGAAAGGGAGCTAAAATCAGCTAAGACAGGGATCCTCCTTGCTATCCTTTCGAGCATTTTTTGGGAAAGATGATGAAAGCATGACAATTTCACTCTTTGAGCAGGAGCCACAGGTTTTCAAACCCACCGTAAACAACCGTAGCCAAGCCACTCCGGAAACTAAGACTTCACTGAGTTAAGAGTTATGGAGCAGCAAAGCCATGAGCCTCAACCGCCAGTTCTCCATCCACGTCTGTGGTCCACCGGCAGCAGGGCTGATGGCCTCAAGGGCCAGTTTTGCAAAAGTACCATCAGAGCACCATCAAATGTTGGATACATATGGATACATCTATTTTTTTGGGAGGGTTGAAGATTCGCCAGATCGAAACTGCTTTGGCTCTGACACGGCTGGTCTCGGGCTGAGGAGCCGTGCAGCTAATTGAATTTCCCATCTCACCCGAAACGATTTGGTCGTCGGTGTGAAACGAAAGGCTTTCTGTCAAAGACTCCACAAAAGAGGCAATGGCAAATTGGCATGACAAACATAGAGGCGGTTGTTGACCGAATACACCTGCTGCCTCTGTCTCTGGTCACTCACTATAGAGAAGGCTTCAAATTGGAGCCGTGCACTTGCAGGCGGGCAGAAACAAACACGGGCAATGGTCAAATGAAACCTCGGAATTACATCTCTACAAGTTAAAAACAGGAATCATTCGACGCAGAAAAACGGACACTGTCGAATACCACCATGCCCATCCCAGTACAACGCATGTACCGCGCACCTTGAGAGTAGGCAAGAAAACGATTGAAGAGTAGATATGTTGATAAGGAACCGGCAAATCTGATCACTAATACAGTTGCAAAGGATTCGGACAAGTCTGACTCAGTATCACGACACGAAAAAGTCCGGCCCAACCCAACCATGCCTTTGTGTAGGCATGTGACCCCACAAGCAGAAAAATATGCAGCAAGCTTGCCCCTTCACCTGCAGCTATTTTCCATACAACCATCGCTTCTCTCATCGGCTAGTACGCTGCGCCCTCAGACGCTTGAGAAAGGCCACAGCCTCCTGTGCAGAAGACACAACAATCACCTGCTCTGCAACACAGGTACTGACCTATTGTTCGAACGAATTTGTAATCCTCTCATATATGCTTACAATATCTTACAATTGCTTACAGTAACATGTAAACTTTTGTTGGCATGTCAGGCACTCTGAGCACTCTTGCCAAAATGTGACTTCTTAAAATTTGAATTTGAATTGAAAGTTTGTAGCGTCACTCCTTGACCCGGCTGTCCTCATCGTACTCATTCTGTGCTTCCTCAAATTCCTCCTCATCCTTGTCCTTCCACTCCTCTATGGCCTGCAATCCACAGAATCCACAGAATCCACAGAATCCACAGAATCCACAGTCAAGTTACTGAAAGGCTAATCTGATCAATCTCTGCTTGTGTCTTGTTTGTTTCGTGCTCTCCTTCCTGTTCAGTCTATTTGCCTTTATGCCTCTTGTTCATCCTGTGTGGATGGGAACTGCATGAAGGAATGAAAGAAGGCAAGCCTTGCACAAAAGGACAACTAAAGGGATAGTCAACAAACGCTTGACTTGAGCAAGCGAGACCAAGAGTTTGCACAAATGCAACAAAGTACCCATGATGATACCCCACTGAAAAGCTCTGCTGGCCGAAACCCAAGTTCAGCAGCTGGAGACTTTGCACGACAAAAACCATAAAGCAGCTGGTTTCATTTAGACTCAGACGACATTTTACAAATTCCAGCTGAAGTTGCGCCTCAGGTTTCGCTTTGGCAAGCTCGCGCTCGCGCCTTGCTTTCAAGGCCTCATGCACCTGTTAGCTCCACAAGCACTTCTACTTGTCGTAGTTCCACTTTAAATCCTTGCACACTCCCAGTTCCTCAAATAAGTTCAGTTCATCCCCTGACTTGTGCAAATCTGAGAAAAGATCCACCAACGGCAAAACAAATAGTGATGGTGAAACGATGGCCAACACACCTCTCTTGGTTTTTGAGTGGGCCTGGGTCGTGAAGGAGCGAAGCTTCTTTGGCCATTTGTCCGGATCCCACTTGATCACCAGAACACTCCTGGACTGCAAGACAACGGAATCATCTACATTTACCTGCAACTTGAATAAGGAAGGCTAAGACAAAACGATCTATCCGATATCTCTGAGACATGCTGAAACTAATGTTTTTGCAAGAGGACTCGCGATCACAAGATTGCAATCCTATCATTGCTACATGTTCAAAAAAAAACAATAGTGTTGATGACACTGTCATGGCAAACTCAGAGTTGGTGAGTTATTTCCATACAAATAAACAGAAAGTCCACGGTAAAATCTGTTGAAAATGCCGGATCAACTGGTCTGTGCCTTTGCTACAGACTAAAGTCCTGAAAAATCGGGGCAAAAACCCAAGGTTCTTTGGCTTTCGACGGGTCAGACAATGCCAAAATTGCCAAGTCGCCAAAGCTTCCGTTGCGTGGCAGCATCAGCCTTACGCCGCCGAACCTGGAGACAGGCGTGGAAAAATGCCTTACAAATTCTCACAGATCACTACATCACTGAGAGGAATTATATTGCACATGGCACATATGCTCCCAAGAATCTGTAAATACATTATGTTATTATAGGTTGCCATGTTCATGGTTGCAGGGTAGAGTCGAGGTATTCTCCTAATATGTACGTTCACCTGCTTGTGGTAATGCTTTGTCTCAGCCCATCTATGCAATGCCAATAAGACCTAGACCCAAGGCAGCTCTTTCTTCTGAGGTTTATTCGGGAAGAGACTTCCCCACATTCTTTGTTCCAGCCTCTGCAAACCATTGCTCCAGCTCAGCACCCACCCTGCACCAGCAGAAATATTGGAAATTCGGGGACATCCAACACACAAGTCTTTCGATAAGGGTTACATGCGGCGCAAGAGACCTCCAGCCCTTGGCGCACCTTAGAAATGCCTGATTGGGCCTTTCAGTGGCTTCAAAGCGTTCAACCCAAGTGTGGGGCAAGAGTCGCGCAGGCGGCTCCTGGCAGGTCATGGAAATTCCGTGCGGTCCGTGCACGCAAACGTGAGGACAACAACCATGAAAGGTAATTATGGGAACATATGGGAACTACAACAATGAAACCACAACAATGGAAGACAGCCTTTGCTACTTGCACAGCATTGATATTGTAAAAAAACGACATGAAACATGCAAAAACACTTGCAGCCAAGATGTCAGACTGTCCTTTGGTCCTGTTCAAAATGATGTTACAAGAAAATGTTTGTGAGAAAAAACAACTGTAAAATTGCTAAAGTTTTGCATCCAAACATCACCTTCCAACAAATCCCTTTCATGTCTATTGCTGGCACTGGGCCCTCGGGCTGTCAGTGAGAACTCATTGGCTTTCTTTTCCGCCTCCCAATCCTCTTTCAAGCTGGGCACCTCGCATAGCTCTTTTGCGCAGGGGTCGCAGGTCTGTGGGATATCTGATTTGGCTTGCACTTCTCACTGGCAGGTTGGCCAAGAACAACAACAGCCACTCTCAGTCTTAGTCTCGCTTTTGTAAATATTATGTATGTCATTACAGTATTACAGTATGTAATTATGTAACGGTACATGTGAGGCCTCAGTTCGTCAACCTTCGATGCTCAGCCGAGGCAGCCAAGGTGCCTTCTTGAAAAGATCTCGTAGAAAGCCCTCCACCGGTAGGAACGGGCACAGGTCGAGAGCGCGCTGCCAAGTCAGGTTGCGTGTCAGATTTGAAGCATGCTGAGTCTCATCTTATGAAGGCCACAGGCTACAAGTAGCTGGGAACTCACCACAGCTAAGAGTTGGAAGCTCTTGCGAGTTTTCAACTGCAAAGCACGCTTGGACGCAAACGAACCCTGCAAAAGATAATTAGGAAAGAAATATCGCCTCTGGTCCGAAAGGATTAAACATGATGAATCATGATGAAACTATCTGATAGCCATGTTTTGTTGGTCAATGTTGGATGCAACAAAACATGGCCAGCCTTGAACAAGTTTGCTGCCTGGACATATTCCTTTTTCCTGTCCTGCAAGGGAATCTGTGCAGTACCAGAAGTCATCTGAGCCAAACAGCAAAAAAGCTGCCACATCGTCACATCTTCAATAAGCTAACATTGTTTCAACGGATATCCACATTGAGTTTCTCTCCATGGGTGCTTTCTACCCACCCCAATTTTGTTCCCACATCTTCTAGATACGATGACGTTAGCCATTATAATTCTGGGTCTGTTTGGTGATCAGAACCTGCAGCACAATAAAGCATACAAAAAGTAGCAAAAAGCTAACCTGAAATAAAAAAACGTTGGATAGCTGATGAGAATTGTACATCCATTCCAACCGGGCAGCCATAAGAGTGATGCCCAGTTCAACCATCACAAGATAGTTGTTCGGACAAAACCTGGGAAGCCCAGGGCCACTTTACAGAGACTGAAAGGCTTCAGAAAGGTTTCAGAAAGGCTTCAGAAAGGCTTCATAGATCAGATCTGATGATTTGATTCATTTGAATTGTAAGGCGTAAGGCACGTGCTCTAGTGCTCGTTGCAAGTCTTCAATCGTCTTGTCAACTTCCTGTCAAGACTTAGACTTCCCTTGCTACACTGAATCACCAATTCCAGTCACAGGTTTCCCTTAGGTTTCCCTTAGGTTTCCATCACTTCCCTCAGGTTTCCCATATTCTGTGACCAATGCCATCTGCCATGGCCTTCATGGCATTCCAGCACTTGGCCCTCAAATGATAGCCTTCTCCCCAAAGGGGATTCTCATACGCAACCTTTGCAAAGCGCAACGATTACAAAGTACAATCGCTGAAAATCGGTCGAAAAGTATCGATTTTGAAAAGTATAGATTTGTATAGATTTGGTCTTAAAAGATATTCAAAGTCAGTCCAAAACAATGTTGCAAAGGGCTTGTGGCTTCTGATCACAGGCAACCCGGCCTACACATGCCTACACCAAACGATATGGAATCTACAACAAGAATGCTGTGCATGTTCGTGAGGATGTGCATGCCTTGTCAAATATTTCAAAGGCTTCTTCCAGCTTGTTCTCGCTCATCAGAAGTCGACCTCGGAAGGTGACTTGAGAATCTTGCTTCAACAGTAGGGCGGAGGTAGTCTTGCAAAATTCCCGCAGACTCAGTACACTCACCAGATTCAAGACTGTCACTACCAGACTGTCACTACAAGTCACTACAGGTGTCTGGAGTCGATCTGAGGCATCTGCCCCGGTCCACCCTATTGTTGATCCACATATTGAAATGAGCAGCCCAAGTCTTCTTCAGACTGATGTGAGCCTGGCAATGAAGTAAGGGTGCAAGTGGCTGAGCAGTTTCGGTCCATTGAAAAATAGGGTTCCTTGGAGCGCCGACATCCTATTGTTTTCGCTGCGCAGATCCTCCCTGATGCAACGGAGATTGCATTCTACATATTTGGACAGGATGCTGTCCTTTTGAGCCAAGGGCCGACTGAGTCAGAAAGAAAGAGTCCTACTCAGTTTAGAGCCCGTCACCCTATCTGCTCTTGGATTTTTGAGAGCTGCATGTAGAACATTGTGTTTTGCATCTTTGGTGTTGTAACCATCCCTCATATGTTTTTTCCATGCCGTTCTGCAGTAATCTACCGTTTGTTGCTTTACGAATGTTACGGGAGTTCTGGTTACAACATTGCTTCAAGTTCTGGATGGTCTCAGAGTCTAAAATAGCCTTGTTGTTTCTTCTGTGCACGGATCTGCCTGGCCAGAGACTTCCTTGTCTGGATCCCTGCACAGTCCAATTCAGTGCCGCACCCCATGTTTTGAATCAGCAATGACAAGAATATGGCTGGTCTCTCCTGAGATTCGGGCTTCAACATGCCAATGAGAATAACTTCGGCATCGTAGCCTCCTCGCCTCTTCCAGGATCAATTCGGACAGAAACACGCAAACCACAGAAAGTATATAAAAGTGCACAGGAAAGGGATGGAAAGGGGAACAAAATTACTTGACCATATATCTAAAATATATATTATATATATATGTAATATAATATAATATAATATAATATAATATAATATAATGTATTATAAAAAAAATATAATATATGATATGATATGATATTATATTATATATATGTTATATTATATATAATATATTATATACTGTATTATAAATTATATATTATATATTATATTATATATTGTATATTATATATTATATAGTATATTATAGTATATATTGTATATTATATATTGTATAGTATATATTATATATTATATATTATATATTATATATTATATATCATACATCATATATTATATATTATATATTATATATTATATATTATATTTTATATATCATATATTATAATATATATATATATTATATATATATATATATTGAATCTATTATATATTATATATATTGAATCTATTATATATTATATATATTATATTATATAGTTTATATTGTGTATGATATATTATATATTAGATATACTGTATTATATATTATATATTATATATTATATAAAAATATATTATATATACATTAGATTATATTATATATATATCATACTATATATATATTATACGATATATATATATTATACGATATATATATGTTTGTGCTCGTCCCTTTGTAAATTAAATTTCTTATTCAAACAAACGTAAAACTCAAAACGCCACGCAAATCGCTCGAAGGTCGGACATGTATTTAATATTTCTTTTTGTCTTTGCTTATCTTAATTGAGTCGGGGGTGAAACCGCACAAACACAAGTCAAGTGTCTGGTAACTGTTTCAGGTCAACAAGTCATGTCGCCTGTCACCCCCCCACAAGATAAGGGAGGGAAAACGAAGTTTGGGAGGGGATAGAAAAATCGAACGGGTCAAGTGCAACCCACCCTCCACACCCTAGCCAAAATTGCGCGGAACATAAAATCAAAATGTTCGCAACAGAGCAAAGGTGAGAAGACTGACATCAATCTGATCTAAATAAAAAGTGAGAAGTAAAGATCATCCTTCAAACAACAGTGACAGATGTAAATGTCACAACATGATAATAAACAGAAGTTGTTTGGAAACTTCAGTTGGTTTCCAGCATTCAGCCAGGAGCATCTGCCGCCGCACAAGTGCGGAATGGAAAAGGCGTCCAACTACGGAAGTTTCAGCAGATTTCACCGCACTTCCACACATCTTAAATTGAACAATTTGAACATGTTTAACATCTTCAACTCTTCACAGGAGGATCAGCTATATTTGCTTGACTCTGAAAGCTGAGCTGAAAACACCGCCAGGCTCACCAACACCGTCAGTTGGTTTTCAGTTCATCAGATTTTTCTTTTTTTTGTTACAGGCGGTACGTTCGCAAGCTCACTACTCCCAACAAACAAAGGCCACAACAAGTTGAAGCCAAACGTTTGTGCTCGTCCCTTTGTAAATTAAATTTCTTATTCAAACAAACGTAAAACTCAAAACGCCACGCAAATCGCTCGAAGGTCGGACATGTATTTAATATTTCTTTTTGTCTTTGCTTATCTTAATTGAGTCGGGGGTGAAACCGCACAAACACAAGTCAAGTGTCTGGTAACTGTTTCAGGTCAACAAGTCATGTCGCCTGTCACCCCCGTTTTTTTTCGACATGTAAAGAGCTTCACTTTCTTGTAACTTCCAAGAGCATTGTTTCAGGCAAGCATATATCGCCTGCAAGGTTTCCTCCCGAGATTGCCTGGCATTCTTTCAGTTTGGAGCGTGACGGCAGGTCAGCAATGTTTGACTCCGAAGCCACCCTTTCATACCATGAAGCGGAAGGAAATTCTGCTTCTACTAAGGACACTGCACGACAGATGTTGTACATGGACAGTGAAGGGCTGGATCCTTTGATCAAGCAAAAACGTGCAGCCTCGTTGTCAACGAAGTACAGTGCTGAAGAATTGGAAAGTTCATTGCGGTAAAAATACCTCACAAGCAAAACTGCAACCGACTCAATTTGACAAATTTTCTGCTGAAGTCCAATAGATGTCCAGTGCTCCATCAGGACTGGTGGGATGGTTCCCCAGTGAATTGCATTAATGCCAAGTTGAGGGATTATGACAACTGCACCCCAGGTTCCATTCCCATTCTCGTACGCACCGTCCGTGTAAATCACTGCCGGACGATCGCTGCTCAGGAAGCGAATTTCTCGTGGTCGCATTCGGTTAATGATCCTGCATGTATCATTGCACAAGCGCGATATGAGCTCTGTATCTGATGAACCTGACTGCAAACTTGCAAACTGTCTGGCGGCAGGCTTCAAACAAAGTCCAACCACAAAGCCACCAGCATAATTCAGCAATCCATGCATAGTCGCCGCCTCGGGTGCAGACACAGTACCCTTGGCAGCGTATGATTCAAGCATCTCCAAAATCCTCTGTATCCGACTTGGGCGGTTCGCCACTGTCACTTGTTTGTTCCAAAAGTTCTGCAAGTGGAATGCTACTCCCAACCCCTGCATGGTGTCAGAAAAATCAACACTCTTTTTACCAGTCGTAGCATGCTTCCACCCAAGCAAATCCAAAAGGTGCTGCACCACGTTCGTAGTTGTTGCCGCCAAAGGTTCAAACTCAATAACAGGAAAATCATCATAAAATACAGTGGTAAGGAGGTGAAATTTTCGAACCATCAAAGTCCAGATACCGCGCGTGATCTTGTTGAATGCAAAAACGCTGGACGTGGCTCCAAAAGGCAGTGACTTCGATATAAAGAACTTCCATTCGCCAGATTCACTTCGCACTCCCAAAACGCTATGTCTAGCAGACTGAGGAGCAACACTGACCTGCTTGTACGCCTTGCTCAAGTCGATGCCCCTGCCCAGCAGCAAAGGCTTTCGGTCGTAGTCAGGGTGCCTTCGACCAGTGAGGTGGTCACCTGAAGAAAGTTCGATGTCGATATGTGGATCTCCGCAGAAAACACCCAAAGCAAACGCAAGAAAGCAACTGATTACGTCGGTGTCGTGCAGGTCAAGGTGCGGCGATGTTCCAAAGGCCGCATTCACTCCCGACGTTTTGTAGTTGTCAATCACTCTAGGTTTAAGGTCTTCACCTTGCAAAAGAAGGAACCGTTGGGACATTGACCAGTCCGCACGCCCAAGCCTTTCTGTTATATCAGACTCCAAAAAGGGACCATCCAGAAAACCAGCAGATACCTCTTTCATAGTTTCTTCCATAAGCAGTTTTGCAAGCCCACGTTCTTCGTCAGTAAAGGCTTTGCCCATAAGGGCTTTTCGTCGCCACAAAGCACTGTGGTCCAACTGTTCGGTTGTCATTGTAGGTGGAGCCCATCGTTGTTTGTACAAAGCGCTTTCGTCTTCCCAGCCAGTCAGGGGAACTCCTTCGCGCATATAGCGCACAACCTCCATGTCTTCGAACCCAACCTGGGTCAGCAGTTTTTCCCAAAGTTCAATGCGTTTTGCCTTGGTCCCCTCCGCCACGTTCTTGTCCATTTTGACTTTCGCCAGTTTCTCCGCAAGAGCCAGTCGCTTTGCAATTTCAACACATTCTCCCAGCTTGCTGATGCGGAACAGGGCAACATCTGCCATCGAGTGTGTTGCCACAAAGAAAATAGCTTTCTTCAAATCATCTGGCACACCCTTGTGCGTAAATGCAGGGTGCTGCAATTCTAAAGAACGCTTGAGGTGATCATGATGGTTGAAATAAATGCCAACCTTGTAGCTTTCAGCTGACCTCTCGCTGTCGTCTCCCCCGTGTCCCAAGCGAGCCAAAATTTTGTGTGGCAGTTGAGGGAGTACCGTAGTGACAATAATTTGGGAAAATTCAGGGATCAATTGGTCATGACCTTTGGCTTGAATGGATTGGGCCATTAAAGATTGCAGTCAAAAAAATTTTGAGTTATACTCCAGTGCATTAGCAGCGACCATTGTACTTGCACATTCAGCATATCGATCACAGAACATTGAAGGATATTGAGCTTCCGCTGCAGTAGAAAAAATCCACTTATCAAATCCACTGACAATTGTCCATGGCTCATGGTTGTGGGACTTGTCGCACATAATCCCCAGTGGCTCAAACTGTCGGGTCGACACCAGCAACTTGGTTGACTTGGCACGGTTTCCTCCGTGCATGCAAAAATCAAATTCCACGGGGTGAAAACAAAAATACCACTCAGCAAATTCAGGGCACTTGTGTTCGCGTGCTTATTGCTTGACCAGTGTTGCAAGTACTGTCCATAACCACGATCGTAAAGGATTTTCCAGTGTAATGAATGCTCCAACACGAAAAAGGGCATGCAACAAGCGCACAGCATGTCTATAAACAGTATTTGCAGCGTCAACTCTCTGCTGGTTCAGAGTGCTCAAATTTGGCAGGCCAAGTGGATGCAACGCGTCACGGAGTGGCGCAGGTTGAGGTGCTCCTTGAGAGCGTAATGCATGTGCAACCGGCACTTCTCGTGCTCGGCTGCAAGTTCCACACATAAGCCCAAAATGGGCTCCTACCGGCTTCATCTGTTCGATCATGCCTTCAAGGAGGGAAATATTCTCATGCAATGACAAATCCAACTCAAAAATGTGCATCTTGTTTTTGAAACGATTTGCATGATAGTCAATCGGAAAAACTTGCCAGCCCATGCGTTGCATTGATGCAGAGAGCGCAGCTGAGCCCGCACAAATTTCCAAAAAGACTATTGGTTTGTCTGCATGAGGGTGAGAAATTGTATTGTCTTGTTTCGGCTCACCAAGTCAGTGCTTACACTCAATGTAAGGTCGCTTCTCTGTGCAACCCTTGTAGTAACATTGGTGAAGCCCCAAATGACAACGTGCTTTCTTCTGATGTTTGCAAATCCCTCTGTTGTAGAAAACACACAGCCATTGACCGTTCGGCAGCTTGCTGGCGCAGCCGTCTGGCATGTTGGTGAGCATCTCTTTGATAGTGGACCCAGAGCTGGGACCTGACGCAGCACCTTTCGACTGAAATTTGTTCTTCCCTTTGCCTTTGCCGGATCCACTGCTCTGTTCCGCTCGACTGTATGGCTCGGAACGATGTCCTGAAGGCGCTTCAGCGCGCACTGATGGCAATGGAGTCATGAAGCAAAGAACTTCAGGAGACCTCATGTAATTTTTCAATTGCTCATCCAAAGGTGGTTTCTCACCTATGCCAGAAATCAACTTGCCACGGGTTTGCTGTGAGATGTGCATCCACAGTTGCTTGTCAGCACTCAAGATCTGCTGTCGTGACATACTTGTGTCCAGCTGGAGGCGGCCGCAACAACGCAGCAAACATCTGTTGATTCCACTCTTCAATCAAATCAAAGGTCACCAAATTGGTCTGATGCATGGCCAAAGATCGGCGTGTAAATGCCGCACGTAGTCTAAGCTCGCCCGAAACATCACATTGCAAGTCCTGAGCCTTCTTGGTGACTTTGAGACCTCCAGCATGGTCAATGCTCAGCGCTGACTCTTTCTTTTCCTTGGTAATTTCTTCTTCTCGTGACATGCACTTCTCAGGTCCTACATAAAGCAAGCAACCATCCTCGATCATGTTTTGAAACTTGTCAACCAATCCATGACTTGGTTCGACTGACGCGTCGATGATCAGGCCTTTCAATTCCTTTTTCTGTTTGTCAATCCTAGCAAGTCTCTCTGCAAGTGGCATTTTCCTAGGCTGGTCAGCCTCAGTTCTTTCTGTTCTGCTACGTATGTCAGAGAGCACCATGGCATGCGCTTCAAACCACAGCCTACGAAGTGGAATCATTTCAGCTGGGGCAACCTCGACCAAAATCAAATCTTGGACTGCTTTCTTGAACTTCTCTTCAGTGTTTGAAGTTGGCGTTGCATCACTTGAAAAAGCAAGGCTCCCAAACGTGTCCAACCCAGCTCCCTTGAGCTTCTCTAGCAGGTCCTCTTGCATCCCTACTTCCAGCGCACGTGAGCTGAAAGCATGTTTCGAATCAAGTCCGGACATGGCTGCACTTTCGACCAGCCGTCGCTGAGTGATACAGTTTTATTGTTATCTTGCAAAAGATTGTCAAGTCAAGAGCGAAACGTCCACTAAAGTGAGTTATTGATTTGAAAATCAACGCATGAAAAACAGTGTTCAACAAGATCGAAATTGAAACGCAATGTTTCTTCATAAGTTGAACCACAGTCGTGAACCTTCAAACATGTGTCATTGATGCAATGAAATTCACACTGCAAGAAAACATACATTCATGAAGCTGTTCACTGTTTTTCAAAGGCTCCGACAGTTGTGCATCGGATCATTGGTGCGCAAGTCATGCGCTGACTCTGAGCAATTCACGCATCAGGTCGATGAAATTCAATTTCATGTTGTGCAAGTCACCACAAAGGAATTCAATTCACTCATTCCCTGTGTTGTCAGCTAAATTCATGCTGCAACAAATTGAAGTCAAGTCAAGCTGGGTAATGCAACAGCGAGATTCAAAAATCATACCAGCCAATGCATTGCCAGTAAGCAAGATTCGACATGTTTGCTGAACAGATTCCCGCCTTGTTTGTCTCTCGCCCGCCCCAACTCACGCTTCTGTTGCACTAAGCACTCACTATCAAGAATGCTGTGCACACTGAGCACAAAATGGAAATTCACATGCCATTTCAAAATCAAAAGAAGGCTTCTTGTAGTTCGCAGAAACTTTTCGTGAACATGCCAAATTTTCACAGTCCACTGCTACATGCAAAACTCCTGACAAAACATGCTGCAAACATGACTTGAAAATTTCTTCAGTCAACGGTCCATTGTGCACAGGTTTCTTTGCTTGAGGCACTGGCAGAGTTTCGCTTGCACCCAGCTCAATGGGGTCAACTGACTCGTCAGAATAGTTCTCAATATCGACATGTTCTGCATCTTGCAAAGTCTGTGCAGCAATCCGAGCAGCCCGAGTTGCATCAGGGTCAAAGTAACCCTTTCGAATGGAGTCCAGAATGCGCCACAACTTGGTTTGAATCTCGGCAAGCGCATCTCTCGAGTATATCAATGGCATTGCTAACCTGGAGTCAAAATGGTGCCCCATGATACGCCTCTCATCAATTGACATGGCTCCAGATGTTGCCGCCCAAGACAGTGCAGTAGCCTTCAAGGTGTGTGTGCTGTATGAAGCCGCCTGAGCCTCACTCATACCAGAGTTGCACAGCAGCTCACGTAGAAAGTATACACCTTCACCAGATGTCATTGGACGATTCAACCATTGTGATGTTTCTTCATTCCAGGCCGGCATCAAAAATTTGAAATGATCCATCTTTTGTCGCTTCCGGGCACGAATCCATGTCCATGCCCAAGAGTCCTTTTCGTAAAGCCCATTGCCCAGGGCCAGCATAGGAAGGGCAACATTCCTAGCTTCCTTGCCAGCCGTATGCGCTGTCTTGAATTTCATGCTTGACGTCTCCAGCAGTGATATGTGACCACTCATGTCCAAATGCACGGTCTCCGCACGAGCTGCGTCAGCAAATCTTGCAGATGCCAGCAAACAAAAAATCATGAATCCTCCAATGCATGCCTCCACATCGTTGCACTCACAGACATGTTTCTCCAAAGCGTACAACGCATCAGCAGTAAGTGGTGGAGCTTGCTTCAACTCCCTTTTGCCTGAAAGCATAGTCCTGCTAACTCCGTTCACTCTGCCAGAAAAAATTTGAGCAACATCCACCCTCGCAAAGCCAATGTGATGTTCGAAAAATCCAATTGCTTTGATAAATGACTGCAGAGATGTTGCAGAGGCTCCGGACAGTTGCAAGTGCTTGGCATAGTCGTACACCACAGTCTCTGAAATGTTCATGGGATAGCAACGTCCCCCATCAACTGCCCATCGTGCAAAACGGTGATAGTCTGCAACCCTTTTAGATACTGTGCCAGGCGCCTTGCCAGCAACAGCATCAATAAAGGAAGTTGAAATTTTCGACTCTGGTGCCAGCTTTCCTGAAAAATCCAGAAGTGCTCTGCCCAGTCTTGAATCCAAAGGTTGAAAAAGAACTATCTCTTTGAGTTGCCGCATTGCACAATCAACCAGCTGATCATCTGTTTTGGCAAATGCCGTTGCCAACAGTCTTTTGCGTTTGAAATCTGAGACTCCTTGCACCGGTTCCTCATGCGAGCTCACTGCACTATGCACAACGCCCTGAACAGATTCAAACCGCCCATACATAGGCAGCTGTGGTTGCCTCCAAATGCTGTCCAGTGAAAATACATTGTCAAAATCCATTCTATTCAAAAAAGAACTTGGCAGTGAAGAAGACCCAGCCACATGTTGAATCACAAGGTTGTCAATGGTTCGACTGACATCCATGTCAACTGTTTCAGCCAAGTTCCTATCAGCCCGTGCCTTGGCTGTGGGCACCATGAAGCGTCCAGTCTGGTTTTCAACGTCATCTGGTCTGACCAAACTTGCAGCGAGTGAATATTCTTCCTCAATTTGCTGCTCTGCAAATTCCTTTTCCTCGTATCCAAACAAAGGACTGAAATGTGAATCTTGTCCAAAATCATGATCATTCAAAGCATCTGGAAGTTGTACGTGTTCCCAGTCCATGTCGCTCTGGCCTCCATTGTCCCCTTGCGAAACAGGCCACTGCGCAGCACCAGCTGCATCTGGTAAATCGCCCAAACTGTGTGAATCACGCACAAGTACCATGAAAACAAAACACTTGCAAATCCAGGCAGTGTTCAAATGAAAACTGAAAGTTCTGTCAGAGAATGCACGTCCCGTAAAATCAAGATCTTCCAAAATTCTGTCAGGCATCCATGGCGATATGGAAAAATCGGATAGAAAAATCGAACGGGTCAAGTGCAACCCACCCTCCACACCCTAGCCAAAATTGCGCGGAACATAAAATCAAAATGTTCGCAACAGAGCAAAAGGTGAGAAGACTGACATCAATCTGATCTAAATAAAAAGTGAGAAGTAAAGATCATCCTTCAAACAACAGTGACAGATGTAAATGTCACAACATGATAATAAACAGAAGTTGTTTGGAAACTTCAGTTGGTTTCCAGCATTCAGCCAGGAGCATCTGCCGCCGCACAAGTGCGGAATGGAAAAGGCATCCAACTACGGAAGTTTCAGCAGATTTCACCGCACTTCCACACATCTTAAAATAGCTTGAACAATTTGAACATGTTTAACATCTTCAACTCTTCACAGGAGGATCAGCTATATTTGCTTGACTCTGAAAGCTGAGCTGAAAACACCGCCAGGCTCACCAACACCGTCAGTTGGTTTTCAGTTCATCAGATTTTTCTTTTTTTTTGTTACAGGCGGTACGTTCGCAAGCTCACTACTCCCAACAAACAAAGGCCACAACAAGTTGAAGCCAAACATATATATTATATTATATTATATTATATTATATTATATTATATTATATTATATTATTTATATATTATATTATATTATATTATATTATGTTATATTATATTATATTATACTATATTATATTATATTATAGTATATTATATTATATTATATATATATTACATTTTATATATATCATATGTTATACATTATATTTTATATTTTATTTATTATATATTATATATTATATATTATATATTATATATTATATATAATATACTATATATTATAATATATATATATATTATCTATATATATATATTATTTATATATATATATGATTGTGTATATATATATATATCATATATATATATATATTCCAATACCAAAAAAATAATAGCAGTGCTCTTGCTGCCCATCTTCAATTTCATCAGGTCCTATTCCTGAAATCATGCATTCCTTGCAATGAAGGCCTCATAGCCCAGTATTCCAATTCGTTCAGCGCAAGGACTTTGGCCTCACAAAGAGAACAAAATGGCAAAAGTCCATCCAGCAAGTGAAAGACTTACCAACTAAAACATTGCAGAGGGCTATGTTCGGCGTATACGCGGCCTATCAAATGTTGAAAATCAATCATTAATGCCCACACTGTGGCTTCAGCTGGATCCGTTCGCCATGTCTTTTGCCATGTCTCGAAGGGCTCTGGTTGCTCAAGCTACAGCTATCCCACCCGAGAAGGTTCACATGGGCAAAATTTAGATCGGACGTCAGCTTTCTGACCGACAAGTTGGTTAAAAATTGTGAAATGTGTTTCCAGTTGGCTTAAGGCTGCGGGGAGGAAGTCTGTACCAACAAGGCCCTTGTTCAAACACAAACGTCAGAGCTCGGAATGGTTTCATCAACAAGGCAGGCCCAACTGTGTCAGCTAAATCTCACCTCCACATCGGTCAAGAACTCGCAATACCGCATATTTTCGCCAGATTGGGTTTTCCTAAGCTCCTAAGAAAAATCCGACATGAGCCTCACGGTTGCTCTTAAGACTGCTTTTGTCCTAGAAGAGTGGCTTCTAAGGCTTCCAGAACAACGCGTAAGGCGTAAGTTTGCGCAAGAATATTTTACTCCATTCATATAATGTTGAACAAAGAGAGATCGCCTTCAAGACTGCAGGCCCAATCGAAAGCCATTATGCCCCTTCTCAGAGCTCAAAACCAAGGGCTTGTGCCCAATGCCTCTCGAGTCGTCTCGTCACTCTGGAGCGTGCGCTTGCATCGCTGCACGGCCTGAAAGGCGGAAATTTGAAGGGTACTGAGGGTAACGGTTGCAGATGGTTGCGGAATCTGCGATTTGGAAACTACATGAAACCATGCAAACCCAAGATATGATCTAGGCAGATTTGCATAGCTTGTGCTGCTCCGTATTGTCATTCGTTTTGAATGGCACAGTCAATTCCAATTAGTTTATTTTCTGACTAGTGACTAGTGCCATCTAATTTCTGAATCGGTAGATTATCTGCCAAAAGTCGTTGGGCATTGGGAGAAACAAAGTTCCAGGCCTCAGCTTCTTCGCGATTCCATCTCGTGCAAAGCTGCTCGTACCCAATCTGCCATCATGTCAGGAATCCAAGCATCTCATCCAGAAGCAAAATGCGAGCTCCAAAACTGCGGTACTTGTGATAGCTTTCTTTTATGTTCAGTCGTATATAAGTGCAACAATGCCGGGCGTGGTATTTGCTGCATTCTGTTTGAGCATCAAGGCCTGGTCTGATGACTTTCCTGGCTCTGTTGGCATGTACTGATAGGGGTTTTTCGAATCGAGGCTCCTCAAAGGGCTGATAACTTCGATGTGATGGTTTTGTCAGAGCTTGTAGCAGTAGCAAATAAATGAAACAAATGACCTCAACCCCTACACTCCAGCGATCGCACGAGTGCTGCAGCAAACTGCACTCCTTCTTAGGTGCGTAACTCGAGGCGAGCCTGAAGATCGCACAGGCATAGCAAGGCCGGAAGCAAGGCCGGAAAAGGCGCCAGCCACAATCGATGCCATGGCCTGGTCTCGTCTCCGGACAACAAAATACCTGCCAGTTGCGACCGGCTAAAGCTGGGACATCCTGGGACCTGAGGGGTCTCAGTGGTCTCAGTGGACATGACATGCAGTGCCAATATGAACTGACTGGTAATGGTGTACCAAAACAACTCTAAAACAAGCCAGGTGCTCCCATTGCAGCATGAGAAGTACAGGTATTACATAGCCAATGAAGCGGCGCCCGCTGCAATGACTGCTGCCTCCTGAGCCTGCAAGGCTTAAAATGTCATCCTGACGTGAAAACAGAACAACACTGAGGGCAACTTGATACAACTTGAAGCTGAGTGCCACTGAGCGCCATCACTGGACACCCATCGGTTCTCCAAGCCTTGGGCAAAAGATTGGATCTGAATTCACGGACAAACATTGAACTTGCTGACTTGCACTTGACGTTTCAAGGACCGGACTTCTAATCAAAAAGGCATGAGAAGGAAACACATTGGCTTCACTAGCCATTCTTCAAAAAGTCTAGTGTTCTTCGCAGGTTGTGTCACCCGGCCGCACAAATATTGATCATCCTATCTGGACGCAAAATCTGACTGCCTGTTACCGTCACTGGTCCTGGTTTCCTTGAAATTATGATTCACAATTTCTGCTGCTGTATCCCTTTCTGAACATGGAGCTGACTTCGTGATCCGAAATCTCAGCTTCTATGCATTGCGGTCAGGGGTAAATTTACAATGGTTGTCCCTATCATCTCATGGCTGAGCCGCGCAAAAAGTGGCAAGGCAAAACTTTCCGCCCAGTTCAAAGAGAAGAAAGGCATGTTTTGGACTGAGCATCTCTACAAAAGCTTGGTCAAGAATAACGAGGCAAAAGAAAGCCACTCACGCAGTAGCCCTTTTGTCCGAGGCAGAATGAGCTGAGGCATGGCATTCCAATCCATTCTGCTCTGTCCTTTTGCAACCAGTGAGACCGGCCACTCCTCCCTTTGAAACAAGACACCTTCAGGAATTCAACCACCGAAACGTTGTGGTCTCACATTGCCGTGATCACAGGAAGCCAAAACCGCGCCATGACAGGTGACCCAAGGGTACTTGAAGACTGAAGTTCCATTCCAGTTTCTTCTGAAAGATATCAAACTTTGGAGTTTTTACATATCCAGAGGGATTGTTTTGCTTTTCTTGTTGGCTAACAAACCTTGAAAGTGTCAAGCACCCTCAACGTCAACCCAACGGATGCACCAGCTTTGAACAGCGAATCGCTTCACATCGCATGGAGTCTGTCTCCAGCTCATAGGAACCTAAGCAAATGTTTGATGGTTAGTGACAATTACAACCTTTTAGTATATTTGTTTTTCCACTAAAGCAATTCCACACAGGGCAAATCGAACTTGATCAAACTTAGTTGACTAAGCTGTGCACTTCTTCTTGAGAGCTTCAATCTGGTCCCGTTTGCTCTTGGCATCCACCTTTGCCTGCATCTTCTGTGGGTTGTAATAGAGCAGCACCAAATACCTTGCAAATAGGTGCCAAATTGAAAACTGGAACTCGATTCAACTCCAACTACCTTTTTATTACTCCAATGAGGGATTATAGCACCTGCCGAAATGTAATTGTTTGCAAGTTCCCAAAAAATGTTTTTTTTCTGATACTGATGTTTAATGAAAACTTGGCATTTTCAAACTGTGGTAGGACATTTCATCCTGCCAAAGACCCACAAGAAAGTCATCTGAGAAAAAGACCGACCAGCCACGTTGAAACCACTCAAGTGATCCATAGCATTTTTGGCCTTGTTCAAAGATCTGCACAAGGCTTTTGTAGCAAATCCACTAAAAGCAACCCGAAAACTGAAAGATCAAATCAAACATCCATATCTGCGGCCCAAGACATCATAGATGTCGTCGTACACCACGAAGCAGGTTCCTCTGGTCTCTGGACCTGGCAACGGTGCGACACAATTGTGAAACAATGGTCACAGTGTATAGATCGGAGATTTCCTGAGGTTTGCACCATTACCACGGCGGATTTGGCGAAGTGAACCGTACTTTCCAAAGATATCATACAGTTCATCCGCACCTAAGTCAATTTCAAATCAAATTCAATAGCAAGGTTTTAGTTTTAGTGAGTTTGATGGACTGCAGAATTGCAAAAATTTGAATGAAGGTTTGTTGCTGCCAATCAAATTATTGCAATGGGTAGTTTGGTTCCTGGCTAATTTTGTAGGGCAAGTTGCGGACGTACAAGATGCCTTGGTAAAAAATGCAATGAATGAAAAAAAATGCGGCTAAAAAATACAAACATACATCATACATACATATATTACGTAACATAACATAACATAACATTAAATTACATTACATTGCATTGCAGTGCATTGCATTACATTACATTACATACATTACATACATTACATACATTACATACATTACATACATTACATACATTACATACATTACATACATTACATACATTACATATTTATATATATATATATAAAATTTGCTGAGAAGCGGTTCACTTCCGGTGCCAGCCTCACGTTTCGCCTATGGCCGCCAAATTCACAAAGCAAATGGTGTCCAAATTTCACGAAAAAATACGAGGGAATCTTCCTTTAAATCATGGAACTATGGAATACTATGGCACTATATTTTGATTGTTTTGATTTGTCTCCAGACATTTCTCTGTCGTATCCAGCCTTCCATAGGCTTGATTGCCTTCTCCTCCACCGCCGCCAGGACCACCAGGACCACCAGGACCACCCGGGGTCATGCCCATGCCCGGTGTGGGCCCTACAATGCGCGGGCATCAAATGCAAAAATGGTGTTCAATGTTTTCAAATCTGATGTGCAAATTATTTGGTATGGTGTCACAGGAAACCCACTGCAAAACATGCAAACCGTTGCAACACGTAGTTTATTTGCTGACAATTCCGCCAAAAATTGCATAGAATCGCACACCAATATGTCGAACCTATGCCACCGCCGAGTCCAAAATCCATGGCTGGCAAATCCGCTGTTTCAATTCAGGAACCACACAACAAGAACAGACGGAAACAAAATAAAGGGGATTGTTCCCATGTTTTTACCATATTGAGCGGAGTGCCCAAATTCGGATGAAAATGTTCCCATCAATATTGCCACAATTTTTGAACCTAGAATGCAAGACCGAAACGAAGGTGACAAGGGTCAAGGGTGTATGTGTGCGAAAAAAAAATATATATAAATGATGTCAGGCGGGGCAAACACATGAAGTCAAGATTTCCCCAAACATTGCATCCTTGTCATGCATCAAACCGGAATTTTCATATTCGCAATTTGCAATGCACCATGATGGCGCACGGCGCAGGCCCCACGTCTTCAAGAGACCCCGAACATTGTTGTAAGGAACATGAAGAAGGGGTACCAAGTTAGACTTGAGAAGAGGAACACGAAAGGTTGGTGATCAAGAAGGGGAAATAAGGCCTCTCTGTGCAAAAGCCGTTTATGTATAAAAACGTACTGTGTGCACAAGTTTGTGTGTGTCAATTGTTTTTCTGTGTAAAAGCATGTGTGTGCAAAAGCGTCTGTGTGTAAAAAGGGTCTGGAATTGTTTTGTTTTTTTTGTTTTTTTTCCGTTTTGGGATTTTTTGGATCTGCGGTTGTGTCCGTTTTCCCTGCAATTTGGAGCATTTTGGAGCTGGAAGCTGCCATTTCAACGGTATTGCAACATTTTGGAGTTCGAACCTCTCATTTTCCATATTATTTGCAACATGTTGGGGCTTTAATTTTCATGTTGGATTGTATTTTGCGACTAGGGTCCGCTTAAAGTTTGTTTAGGTTTGTTTTAGTGTTTTTTTTGGATTGGTTTAGGATTGGTTTTGTTTTCTTTAATGGTTAGTTTTGTTTTTTTTAATGGATGATTTTGTTTTTAAGGGGTAATTTTAGGGTTGGTTTAGGGTTTCTTTTGGCGTGGTCTAAGATTTTTGTACGATCTGTTCAAAGCAGGGTTGAACTCTATGATGCTGTCATAGTCATAGTTGACTTAAACCCATGTATCTATGCCTGCTGTCTTAGGACCAAAGAATACACAATGCAGAGTAACCACATCAAACTTAATCCGTTGCTGATGAGTCGCAGCCGTATCTCGTTGGTGGCCGATCTTTGTTTCATGAGTGTATGAACATGTCATATTTGCCTTCATTTATAGCTTAATAGCGTCATTTTCTCAAGCCGAAATTCTGTGAACATCATTTTAATTATATAGCGTTGCTGTGTCCCGTTCTTCGCTTCATTGTCAATCTAATTCTCTGCGCGGCAACAGTGGGCAAATTTGTGGCCTCTCCGACTCTCCCACGTTCCAGTTCCTCCGGAACCTTTGAGCACATTGTAGAAAATCATCTCTTAGCACCCTGAGAGTCTACACACTGGTTGAGAGCAACCATGGACATAAGCGCGCCTGAAAAATACTTTGGATCGCGCAATCCCTGCGGTGACATTTAAACATCTCAAAGTGTTATATGAAACTCGATACTACTCGCTCTTCCGCAGCTTTCCTTTTTCACAGCAATGCCAATGTCAATCACATTCACCTGCAATCCTCAGGTTTGCTTTGGGTCGTCACGTTGTGACATGTACATAGCCTCAGACCAGTGTCACCACTGGTCAGCTGCCTGGTGATCCAGGCTGGAACCTGCTCAGCAGGTATCACCCAACCCTTAACCTAAGGGAAGGTAAAACTCTCTTGGTCACCCCAAGAGAGAGTCCCCAGAAGAGGCTATGGACTCGCCTGCCATGCAGGCTCCCCTAACCTAGGCGGACATCTCCACGGGAGGTCGGCTCTTAGGGTTGGGAGGGTGGGGAAAGAAACAGCAATGAATGCTATTTTGGTTCAAGTTTACTTGAGCCAAAATGATAACATTCATTGAACACTTAAAGATGATACATGCACACCCAAGCCTGCCAAACTCGATGCATGGGTACATCTCAAAGTGTTATATGAAACTCGATACTACTCGCTCTTCCGCAGCTTTCCTTTTTCACAGCAATGCCAATGTCAATCACATTTCACCTGCAATCCTCAGGTTTGCTTTGGGTCGTCACGTTGTGACATGTACATAGCCTCAGACCAGTGTCACCACTGGTCAGCTGCCTGGTGATCCAGGCTGGAACCTGCTCAGCAGGTATCACCCAATGCACTCAAAACCCCAAAGCACTATAGGAATTCGAAGGTGAGAATGACAGCGACGAAAGGCAGCTGGAAAAAGATAGTGGGAAGGTACGACGAATAAAAGTCAAAGCCATGGCATCGCCACCATGGGTCCTCAGCGCCGAGGCGGCTGATGTCATCAGCCCAGTTGCTCTTGCTCTGGACGTACTCCCAGTAACCCTGGGCTCGCAGTGCAAACAGAGCTAGATGGATCAAATGACCTAGCTTGGCTAAGTCGGCATTGCTAGAACGTCCTCTCACTAGCGTCATGACGGCTGCAACATTGTCCAGAAACCAAAGCCCGTGTCGATTTCGAAACAGGTCAGGTCGTTCCACTAAGGCGTAC